AGCAGTAACAGCGGCGAGTATAGAGCGGCAGCAGCTTCGTTCCCTTCCACCGGTTTTGTCAGCACGGCTGTTGCTCTGCTGTATACGTGTACGTATAGCTATGTGTGTTGCTATATGCACGCAACGAAACGAAACGCTCTCTTGCCAAGATCGACGCCCCCACCGCGCTGCATCTGCTGCTTGCTGCTGCTTGCCGACAACGACGACCGCTAGTCTCTTTCCAACTCGCTTACACGCCAACCAGTCAGTCGAGCGCTGCACGCGGCCCCGTAACTGTGGGCAGGGTCTATTCCTGTGCATACGTTCAACCAATTCCGTACTTGTGGATTGTTACTTATAATTGTGGTTCTTTCGCGAAACTATCGTTTTGGGCATGCGCAAACTTTTTGCCAATGACGTTGTTGAACATTGTGAATTGAATTTTAAAATGTGAGAGAAGTAACGCAGTGGCACATTGTTTTTTTTTATAATATCCTCGAATGAAAACCATATCATTGTGATGCGGTTCAGCAGCGACAACTTGCCACGATCTGCTTGCCGCAGGTGCTCTACTAGTGTCGAGGGGAACAACGCCAGTGGCGCGCGAGCAAATGTGTTCGCTTTGCTCTGCGATCATTATGAAGGGTGAGAATCAACTGTTTTTCACCTTTACTTGTTGGTGGCAGGTTGTCATTGTGTAATTGAAAAAACGTTGGTTTGTGAATTTTACAAAGCTGACAAAAGTAGACTTCGATGCGTAAGATTTGAACGGTTTCACACGCAAGAAAATTATTATGAAAAAAAAAATAAAGAAGTGTATTCAAAGAGCACGATCGCCTGACTGCACTTTCTTGGGAATGAACGGGCACACTTTAAATGCATATCGTTATCGTAAAGAGATAAACCAGTGCAATGAATAATGCTCTACAATTCTTTGAAATTTTAATAAAGGAAGTCCTGGCTTTTATATCAGTAGTATACCAAATATACGATGTAGTCTACCTTAGAAGGACTTGTATCTCATGTAATTTTATTTTATCATCTTCAAAAGAAAAATGCGTCAAAACATGAATGAAGTACAGCAGATGAGAAACAAAGCTATAACAATGCAGATATGAATTGCTCAATCGAATTTTTTTAATCAACCGAATTTCTTCTCTTTCTCGTACATAATATAATGGGTTTCAAAATCTCTAGCAAGCAGCAGCATTTTATACGAATCTTGACTCGAACAACAACGGCATTGAATGAAAGATTGAACAACAACGCCACTCCGCGAATTCCATCGAAACTATTGCTCTGAAGATACACAAGGGACATTAACCTCCTTGTGTCTTCGTTATAGGTTGTCTTTTTCTCTTCCCCCCCCCCCCCTCTTTTAGATTCGAATCGGATTTCCTGTACACTAGTCGATTTCCGTGCAACTTCCTCGATCTTATCGGCCAACAACCGATATGCATGTATGTAGGTACTAGACGAGTAGTCTAAAGCCACACAAAGTTTGAAATCGTAGATAAGGAGGATTGTTTCTCGGCAAGGGAAACTCCTCCAGCGGAGAATGTTATTTTTAAGATATCTTGCTACCAACATACACATATCTGTATTGTCTGATTTAGCATATAAGTACATGAATGCTTAATTGAGATATTGTTTAGCTATAGCTTTTTATTATTAAAAAAACGATACATATTCACGACTTTCGGTTGTTATTTATGAATGAACATTCTTCGCCCTTAGTATTGCTAATGTTAGTTATTAAATTATTATTATAACGCTGGCATAACTCATACCTTATTTCAATATCTGCATCGACAATTAACAGTAAAAGAATTAGCAATAATAATTTTTTCGTCAAAGACGTACATGACTTTTTCTAAAAGAAACGTAAAAATATAATGTACAACTAGAAAACACAATATCCTCATGAATTCATGAGTGAAGTTAATATTACGACAATTAATGAGCCATGGTACATTATTCTTATGTGCTTGTGTGTCCGAAAAAGAAAAAGAAATTTTTAATGGTCCTTGATTGGTAATACCACGATCACCGCTGATTTTAGAATCAAGTATAATAAGATTTTTTTCGAGTAGGAGAGGTATATTTGCAAAAATAAAATTAAGAATAAGGATGATGAATCGATCTTTAGTGATATTTGATTAACATCGTGCAAGTTTACTCTTAAATGAATCCGCAAGTCCATTGTGAATTCACACTCTGTTCAACATCTAACACTGAGAAATATTAATTTGACATATTGCAATCCTCAGACTTCGCGCAATTTTCCTATGCACAGTCGTACTTATTTATCAACTCAATGCATCATTAATAAAATAGAAGAAAACAAATCACAAGTTTTCTATCCCGTCACAAAGGCTACGGATCAAGCTCATTCATTTCCGATAGCTTAGCAATTTTCATCAAATTTTTGCATCGCTATTTTATGTTCAAACGACGATAATCAAAGTCGTTTGTTGTGCAATGTTTTTGTTTCATCCAAGACGACGCTCCCATTTTCCGCAGATTGACATTAGCAAAGTCACGGGGCCGTTTGTTACGTACTCATACAATTTAAGTATCTAAATTCAGTACTTTCACTTCACTTTTCTTTTTATTTATTGTGCAATCAATGAGTGGAGAAAATATCCAGTTAGCATAAAATAGACCACATAATATTTCTAAAGAAAAAAGAAAAGTTTTAATTGGTTTCATCAACAACGCCAACTATTCGACTACAATACTATTCGTAAGTGTCACAACAGAAAATTATTACGAAACAAAAAATGATTGAAAGCGAGCAAAATTAAAAAGTTTTCTGCGATATCTTACATAAATATATATGAACTGATAACCATGCATCTATAGAAAATATATTATTATATTTCCTCTCCAGTGTGCCTGATTAGAAAATTACCTTCTCCCGCAGAGAAACTGCATCCTCCATTAAAGTACTTATTGTCTTGAAGTTCACATTCCCATGCATTGCGCATGAAAAACATAAACTTTTTACCGACAGAGAGAAAAACAGAATGATCAGGGTACGTGGCATTACCACGATCAAGAATTCTTTGAACCTCGTACTGTTTTATCGCGACTGAGAGGAAGCTTGATAGAAACAAAACACCGAGGCGCCAGCTAAAGCCGCCTTCTATATCGTCATACACGCATACGCAACTGCAATTATTAGATTTGCCGCGACAACAACTTACAGCAAGATAGATACATCGAGGTCGCGAACTCACGGCGCTGATTTCCTAGACGAAAAGAATGTACGTACTTGTAGATAAATTGGCGGCCTATTTATTCTGATTCTACGTGATTGGTATGCTTGAACTTTGACTCTTTACAAACGCTTAGTATTCATCAATTCAGTCAATTCTCGCGAATGACGCATAATTGTTACATCCAAAAGTAACAAATAAAACTCTCAGCATTAAATCGTACGTAAACTCAAAGATTCACAGCGATATAACATCCCAAAAATGCGAATAGCGTACTCCCACATAGGCAGCATAAAAGCTTCGTGCAGTACGTCGATAAAATCAGTTAATAAATTATCGCCTGTAAGAGACAAGTAAGCGAGCAATAATAAAAGCTCTAATAGAGAAATAAAGCCGACATAACATACTTTTGCGCGCGGAGTATAATATCTTAGAGACCATATTCCCGAATGGAAAAAGCATGAACTGTTACGTGTCCTAAAAGGCCTCTATGTACGATAGAGAGAGAGAGAGAGAGAGAGAGAGAGAGAGAGAGAAAGATCAAATCTCCACTGGCGCGGTGTGCTCAGAAAGATCAATTGCTCCTCCTCCACCCCCCCCCCCCCTATATATATATACACACACATACACACACACGCGCTATGAATGGATAGATCTAATTGACCCAGTTTGCCTCCCGTGACTAGTATGAAAAGGATGATATCAATACGGCCATCGAAACCTTATAAGCAAGGTGTGGGTGACCAATTAATGTTTGCAACACACTTTAGCGTCTCATAATCTTTGGCAAGAACCACCATACGAAAAGATTTTCTGGAAATTGATGTACAAAATATAACAGTCGTAAAATTTGCAAGATGCAGTCTAAATATAAGTCGAGAGCGGATCTAATGATTGAATATAAAAAAAAACGTCACGCGGAAATCGCGAATGTCACTTTCCGCACATGAAAATTCATAAACGTGCAGTTTACATAATAACTGCGATTCTCGATGTTATATCGGTACAATCAAATATGAGTAAATATCGGTTTTCAAAATTGATTTGTAGAACCATATATGTCGCACATATACGTGTGTTCGATTTATGTTCTGGGAAAAGTCGTACCACGACGTTCCCGCGGATCGATTGGTTTAATTAATTTGCCAGCAGCTACTATGCAAAAGCTGTTAATCATCAGAGATGAGAAGTTAATTAGTAAAGACGTGAAAGTGATGCCAATCGACAGGTTGTCTTTTTTTTCCAAATGATCCTGATATAATGCACCGCAGGGGTATTTCAGCTACAATTTAATTTTGTAAAGATCCGTTATATAGCGAATTGATACGTAAACAGAAATGAATCAATGTTGAATTGGGATCGGCGCTATTTCGGATGGTGTAGACGGAGTTCGCGGACGTTGAATTTTGTCGGACCAAATGAAAAATTAGAAAGTTCATTTTTAATTGGCATGATGCACTTCGGTACGAAGATTAATTGATAGGTTACTAAAACAATTCAAGTTTAAGCTTTTTTACTGAATCTTGATGAAATGTCAAAGTGCATTAATATTCCATTGAGCCCATAACATAGACAGTTGATACGAAAAACAAACTACTTTTGGAATTTATAATTTACAAACGATGGACACTACAATTTATAAGTTGTAAACTCAAGTGTATAATTCTCGATTCTAAATAACTGTGCTGTTTAATAATAGAATGAGAGCGTATATAAGAAGTGTGTAAGCATCGCGAATAAGTAAATATAGCGAAAAAAGCAAAGTAGTAGACATGTAATGTAAAACTATTTCTGTTGCAGATTATCAATTTCCTATTGACGTAACCGGCGTTGCCAAGGATCACCCATTTCTCGAGGCTGACTCTCTGCAGAGTCTCTTCCGCAGACTCCATGCACTCAATCGTTGCGCTAACATGAAACTTGACACCCACCACCATCATCATCATCAACATCATCATCATCATTCTCATAACATAACTAATCACAGCAAAAGCGTAAGTATATACCAATGGAAGATTTTTTCACATTTACCGTTCTACGTCAATCTCGTTGATATTCTAAAGATTTTGATAAATTGACCCTTCTTTTCATTACGTCCATTACGCATCTCGAAAAAAGAAAGCAATCGAGCTAAAATTGGAATATAAACAAGAGATGCTAACAACCACATATATAACAATCTCCCATCTTGAAAATTTTGAAGACAGTAGGCATTACACAAAGCCTAGCTACGGTTCGGCCAACGTTCAAAGCAACCTTTCAAGAAAAAGCCAGGCTTGCTCGGTTGAGTCCTTTTGCGGAATGACGCGTGGAGCGGTCTTTCACGCAATTTTCGCTCTGCGATAAAAAGGAGTCGCCGTGGCCTTGTCGCGTGACATCCAGACCGGGACTTTTCCTCGCGACTTTTTTTCTTCTTCTCTCGGGCTTGGCTTAACAGAAAAACCGGCAACGTCGATGCTCATCGGATTATAGACTGTCTTTTTCTCATGAAGGAGGGGGCTTTAGATATGTCCAGATATACAGTTGTTTTTGTTCTGTAGCACAAATAAGCGTCAAATATAAACAAAACTCGATCGTTGAATGCACGCAACGCTTTATCAGCCTCTTCTATATGGGCATTGTCATCCGCAGCGCGGCTGACTGTGGCAAAAGAGTTAGTGAAAGTCGGCAGTGCTGGCGAGTGCGAGCTCGGAATAGCAATTAACGAGACTCACGTGAGCGGAGCCTTTAAAGCCGCGGGCCTAATTACTATGGAAAGCACAGGTGTGGCGTAGATCGTCCCAGTCGGATTATTTGCATTCGCTCGTCGTTGCTAGCTGCGTTCTGGTGCTCATCCCGTCTGGATGAAGAAATTCAGGCTTGGCTTCCGATGAGCTTTGTACGTGTAACCTTTACAACTTATTTCCTATGGGACGCTCCTGACATGAAAAATGATCGGTCCAGAGTTCGAATGACCGTAGTGACCGTATTTATTTTTCGTTACTTGCAAACTCAGACGGTATCTAAGAGACGAAGAAAAAGGAATTCGATCCAAATCTGTGATTGACAGCACACCTGCAAAGAGGATCCTTTTTTTCATGTTAGCCGAAAGTAAAAGTGGCCAATCGATCAATCATCAGAGCCGACGTTTTATAAGCGTAGATCCGGCAAATATATGAGAACGATGACAAAAAATAATACTAAACGTTCAAAAGGCAAAACACTCGCGACATCAGTTAATGATTCCGCCCCCCCCCCCCGTTCCTTCTGTCAGGAAAGTTGCGTGCAAATACACATACTTACGTCACTATCAATTACGTGCGTAAAATTGGAAATCGCTCCTGTGACTACCTTATCTCTCCTCGTTGCTTTATCGATCTTTATTAATTACCCTCACATATAAATCATGAAGATTTTTGTAGCTATATACATGGTATTGAGCGTGTTTTGCTGCTGCGTTTTTGTTTGATCATCTTTTCGCTCGATATTTAGCTATGAAATTTTGCTTTAACCTTGATTGTTTGAAAATATAAAACTGTTACACGAGGACAATCACATCTATATAAAGTTTCCAATTCCTCCAGGTGATCATCTCAAAAATGATCCCATTACTGCGGGACTCGATAAAAGCCAGTATTCATCGAAATGTCGGTTTTTATGTGTCGTGTCATAAATTATCACGGGCGGAAGATAAGAATGTATATAATTTGCGAAAACATTTTAAACAGGCTCGAGTTTGAGCGTACAATTTAGCGTTCAATTATATCCTTACGTAAAAAACCGAATGTCGAACGAAATCGCGAGCTGCTGCAGGTTTTACGCCGAATCATAAATTTATGAAAAAGAGAAAGTGTATGTGTGCTTCAGTCATTAAAATTGATCTTTTTGCCAGAGGCAAGTACGCGATGAGCGTCTATAGCTATATCGTTGACGGCAGATTATTTACGCTGTTTAACAAAAATATAGAAGAAACAACGTATAACTTGTAAGCTTAACATATTTATCAGGCCAAGTATTCTAGTACATGTAAAAGGTTGTGGTAATTGAACTTCTTGCAAGGGAGTAAATAAAAATATAAGATATTTAACGACTGGTTCAACCAACTTTCATGGCGAAATAGACGAAAATCTATGATCATGCTCAAGACACGCGCGCACGCCCGTATAAGTTCACCACTAATTCGAATAATAAACAGTAACAATAGAAATTTATTTACCGTAAATCATAAAGAAAAAGGAATCTAATTGTAAAAATGAAAATGCACAATGAATCTTTTCACGACTATTATCATCGAAACATCAAAATCCATTGAGAACCTGACACCAAAGTTGAGACGTTATCATATTCAATTGATCTTATCTGCGAAGTCTTACAGTTAAGACTTTTCCGTCGGTCGCGCGAGCAGATACAAATCGGTTCGTTCGATCAGCTCTTCCTGCTCTCTCTCTCTCTCTCTCTCTCTCTCTCTCTCTCTCTCTCTCTCTCTCTCTCTGTTTCTTCCTCTCTTCTTCCCCCTCTCTGTCTCTGCCCCCCCCCCTCTCTGAATGACAGCGCCAGAGTCATGCAGCACGCAAACTCCCCCTCGAGGCACAAAGTTTATCCTTGGAACCGGAAGCTCAGCTGCCGACGTAATTGCTATCTCTGTCGTAGGTAATTAGCGAGAAAATGAAAAATAACGTCAAGTGAAATTGACCGCGACGACTAAAATAAAAATGAATAATAAGTATATCAGAGCGAAAGTTTTTGGAAAGCAAATTGGCGTGTATATATTTAAGGACGTGCGATGAAAAGTGAATTAATCGACCGAGTCCGTGGATGGTCGACGACGAGTATGATAAATTCACGGATGAAGTTTTAAGCCGACACCAGTTTCGCGCAGCAATGTCTTTCTCGTATTCACAGGCTCGATTAGTACACGCCTTTCTAACTAGCTTCATCGACGTTACACAGCAAATTATTCGATGATAACCAGTTTTCACCTCGCGTGACTTTAACTAATTAAATAATTAAAATACACACTCGTAATAGTGTCATTTTACAATGTAATGACACTTTTTTGGGGTAGCGAGTTTAATGTTTATGTAACCTGTAGCATCCGACAAAGAACGACGTCTTCTAAATAAAACAAAAACGTTTACGGTCGTAGGATTTGGCCGCGCGAGTGAGTACCTTTTGCGAGAAACAAAATGAGAAACTTGGAGATAATTATCCTGCGATCGGTCGATCGACTTTCGAAGAGAGAAAAAGAAGACACAAGGTGTACCGAGAAAGCTTTTCTGGGTTCATTCGCAAAAATTTCCTCTACATATATACGCGTGTGATTCGATACTTTGTTATCGGATGTCCGCCCACGGACGGAAATCGATTCGCACATTACACTTTCTTTCCCTGAACATTTCGATTTTTATCCAAGTTTATTTTATGTAAAGACAGTTAAGAAAAAAATCACGTTAAAAAATATTGAAGACCGAAGTTGCGAATCGTCGTCTAAAAATCGTTGAAAAATCTCGTCACATAGCTGCTGTTCTAAATCAGACAGAAGATCGACCTATTATTACAAAATGGACTACTCGCTAACGATCTTGCCATCTCTCTCGGAGAATTAGCATGCATACAAGTAATATTCCGCTTTACAGGGAATTCCAGGAATATAGCCACGTTCCTCTCTTTGCCTCTCCTCGGGTGCACAAGAGGAGCGAGGGAAGCTAATTGGCAGGTTGTCTTGCTCTCGCACGTATAGATGTTGGAAACAAAGAAAGCAACGGCATCCGCGCATTTCCCGACATGCATAATTACCGATAACGAAATCGCTAGAGAAAGAAAAGCAAAACGGAAAAGTTACACAAGCCGTAAAAGAGCCTGTCGCAACGACGCGATCTCAGTGGCGGCAGTGGTAGACTGCGTGGCACTCTTGGCCGCACCTTACCTCTATACATGTATATACTCACGTATATAATGACGTTCGATCGTAAAAATAGTCTGCTGTATCGCGCGCGTGAGCTACTTTCGGATTTGGTTGGCACGCTCGTGGTTTCGCGAGCTCATTTTCGGTGACAGATGCGGTAGTAAAAAGTGTCAAGGAGACGATATCATGTTCTCTCTCTCTTTCTCCCTACAACCTGTATAAGATTTATAAGTATGGGTAAAGTCGATATGGGATGTCAAAATATTATCGTGGAAATTGGTGCATAAAACGTTCGATACATATAGCGAATTGTTTTCTTAGCGATCTTTCTATATAAAGAGATGTTACATAATCTATCTCCAATTTCGATTATTCTAAGATTATACTAATTATTCTTATTAGTCATCAGTTAATCTTTAAAAATATACCTGATAAATTTGGAATGAAGAGTCGAGCATTGACAATTACATAATTACGTGGTACTGCGCGATCGTTTGCTGGTCATGAGAAAGCTGACTCATTACACATAATAGATCAATCAAAAATTCCCATTTACACGCTCATTAGAGGGGAGAGTCGAGAAAGAAAACTTGACGGCGTTGCACCACTCACACGCCTTTCGTCTTATTACTAGTATCTAAAGCGATGCGTATATCTTGTTCAGAGAAGCCGCGGGCTATAGGCCGTCGATACGGATCTTTCTCGGAGCTTCCGTATAAAGCTACCGACTGCACTATTATGTATACGTATACTACTGTGATTAGTTAGACATTAAAAAAGAAAAATTCTTTACTTTTCCTTTGCTTTTTTAAGCAAAGAAATCAGTTCTGAAGTAAATGTAATTCGCTTCAATTTTAAAGACACTAATAGAATTGATGGAATGTGATGTTTAATAACGTGTTTCAGCAGAGAATAAAAATTAATAAAATTTCATTACATGAAACTTCATTTTCATATCAATCAACGAGCCATCAAAGAAAATTACATTCGAAAAACGCACAGCTTATGAAGCCATTAATCAACTCTGGGTGGGTAATAAAAAAAGTAAAGAACGAAAGCTCGTTTCTTAATTATCTTGTGTACGCGAAAGCGATACGTTGAGAAAAAGGA